AATACAACAGTTATAGGGTTTATGAGTACTATCACCTAAAATCATTTTCATATCTATAGGGTGCACGAATTCCAAGATATCGGCTGATGATGAGTTTTTAAAATGGGACTCCCTGTTTTCAATTGTATAGCTTTTCGTGATGGCAAAATTTAATCTGCTATGTGACTGAATCGCTATACAAATTTCAAAATGTTACATACTGTGGTTATCCAGTAATGGATGTCCTAAATGGAGTACTCAGACATCAAAATTTGAAGTCTGGTGTCGTTTTTCCGTTTTTTCTCGAAAACGGAGCTTTCTATGAGGTATCAACAGGAGGATCTTTTTTGTACATAATTAAATAGCCTTTCATGACATGACAACAATAATATTCCCGTAACGGTGCACCTTGATGGATAAACATGTACCAAATTTCATGAAAATGTATACAAAATTGTCTCAGTTATCATCAAAAAACTGAATATTTTTCAAAACCTCATCACCCTGTATCTCAAAAAGTCTTTTAGGACATACGTTCATATGAAGTTTTCTTCTTAGAATGAATCAAAGAATCTCCTCCTTGAATATTAGCATGTCATTAAGGAACACCCTGTATAAATGGCTATTAGTACCAAAGTATACATTCTTTTCAACATTTCGAATTTCACGATTCTATTATATTTCATGTGTTGAAGAATGGTATACCAAATATCGAATAGTTTCGTATTCCTTATAAATAAGTCTACAAAATGGCGAATGTTTTTGCAACTCATTTCAATACCTATTTAAACCTTTGTATAAGTTAACAAAGCGAATTATTCCATCCTCAATGAATAAGAAATTTTGAGATAGTTGTGTTAATTATTCATAACAAAATAGCGAATATTTTCGCAAATTGTTGCATTGATGTTCATCTAGAATATTTTCGCAACTTGTTGCAATAATATTCATCTAGATCTTCTATATAAATTGGTAAAGAATGAATTTCAAAATTTTTTCATCGTTATATGGAAGTATACCGAAGCAAAATATCAACCACGTGATGAATGCCTCCATATATATTATACAAAAACACTTACCATCTTGAAAAAATACAACTTTCACACACTCAAATGGAAATACAACCACTAAATAAACCGAATATGAATTCCAATTTTCCACTCGTAAATACTTCGCGTTCTTTTTTTATTATCACTTGAATTGACCGTACCCGATGAAGTCAAGAACGAGACTGCCGATCGGTTTGATTTATCATTCAAATGACTAATTAGTTTCGTCATCCTTTCAACCGATTTATTCCCGAGCAAGTATGACTAATTCCGATAACGATAGTAGGTATACGTAGTGGAGTGAAAAAATAATTGAGGATATTTCCTTCCATTTTCTCATCTATACGAGGTGTTTTTGAAATTAGTTCATATATTATCAGAAAATCAATGAAATATAGGCTAACGGATATTCCCATGATATCAGATTTTTGCTAATTCCTTTAATCAACGAGGAATTTGATCTTGAAATTTTAAAAAAAAGGGGGAAAAACAAATAGGCCAGCTCAAAGCGATTTGAATTTTTGAACTCTGCGTGAATGTTCCTTATGCATGGAAATTTGTACAGGTGATTTGCTAGAGTATAGAAATTTGGCTAGAAAAAGAGTCTCACCAGTCACCCTAGATTTTATTTAATCCCTATATTTTCTTTAAGGGTGCCATTCAATAGTATTGGTCGAAATTATTTAGGGTTTGAAATATTTGTATTTATTTCAATGTCACCTGTTTATTAGGATGATTTAGGTTAGATTTTTTGGAAAAAGTAGTCTACTATTCTACGCAGAAAGGATATGTTCCTACTCTATATACATGATGATTCACTAAGAATAGAGAACTCTGTACTACAGATAGTATGCCTTATAGAAATGTTGCAGATACAGGATGTTTAGCTTTGTTTGGTCGAACATTTACTTTGAAATTCTGTTTGTTGTTGGCGTTGTTCGTGATTGTTATCATCAATCACTGTCTGTTTTTCCACTGTCAGTTCGCCAACTGTATAATTCAAAATTATTAAAATTTTGAAAAAGAGTACAATTTTCATGTAAAATTGAACGGGATTCCAGATTTTTCACTTATTTTGATCATCATTCAATGGACAAAAAAGATATGATGTAATTTACCAAAGTAACAGAGTACCACTAGCACCCTCTATGAGCAATCACAAAATAAGTTCCAAATTCGTATTTCTCATGTCAGAAATCGTGAAACTACAAAATTTTATGCTCATGCATGACACTTAAGTATCTGTCAAGTATACTAGTTACCACTTAGTATCTGTCAATTAGGCTAGTTGACACTCAAGTCTGTCAAGTATGCTAGTTATCACTTAGTATCTGTCAATTAGGCTAGATGACAGTTATATCTGTTGATTATGAAAAAAGCATATCATATGGTGCTTCTATGCTTTCATACATTTTCAACAGTGCATGCTATTTAATAAAATTAGTTTTTCCATAGATATAAAACACTTCTAGTTGAAAAGCTGCTGATCAATAAAACTAATTTAAAAAGTTTCATTTCCTTCAGTCATTCTGAATTCAATATAGATTGGTATCAATTCTATTCAATTGAACTTGTACATAAACTCACCTGGAATAATATTGTCTAATAATTTTGGATTGATTGTTATGTGAATATCAGATGTTCTTCCTCCCCAAGCCTCACTGACCAAACACACTGTTCCTTGTGGGGTGATTCCTATCAAATACTTCAGGGTGTGAATATTCATCAGATTCAGGAACTATACTATATGGTTCTCATCTTGAAAATCTGATGATCCTACAGCCTGTTCATAAGATGGCCCTGCAGCCTGTTTAAAAGATGGTCCTGCAGCCTCATCTTGGCAATCTGATGTTTCCATATCATTGATAGTTCCCTTAGATTGGTTGTCAGAAGCTAAGCTATCATAACCCATAAATAAACTGGGAGCCCAGTCAGGATTATTAACATCAGTATTCTGATAGATCTAAAATTCTGATGTATTATATTTATTACTTATCATTACCCGTTTCAGTGAACTCACCAAGTAGGTAGAAAATGTTTGCTGCAAACTCATTACATTTTGAGTTTCTCCTCCATCAAAACATTTCTGTTTATCCACTTGTCTCTTCTTTTAATTTAATAGATAATTCATAAAGTTCCACGTTATAATGATATAACCAACTTTCAACATTATTTATTCCACAATAAGACATTTTTACAACACAAACACTGAGCAAAACCTATCCAGAATTATTTTAGATCTATTGCAATACACGCTGCCCGACCTGACGGCAACAACTTGAACACTTTTCACCGGTTTGTTTTGTTGATGTGACCCTCCGAACAACGAATCCTAACCAATAAGCATAAACAAAAAAACAAATGTGAACCAATGAAAAAAAGTGAACAGGCCGCTTTGACAACTTTCAAGAACTCGGATAGGTGGCGTACGCTTATTTTCTATCGCGAATTCAATAATTTTCATATGTGCAAGCCAAATGCAATCCTAATGAAACTAAAAGTATATAAAATTCGATTATCAACTAAACAAGCGGAAATTTTGAATTCAATTAAAAATATGGTTAAAAAAGTAACGGAATGAGTTGTCTGTTTGGGTACAACAAACATTTTGAAAGCATTCAGTCTTGCATTTGAACACCTCAGCGGTTTGTTTTCTTTCTTCTTCTCTTTGGGTTTATTGGATTTCTGTCTCCTTTCGGAAACAATTTTTCCAGATCAGGTAATTGATTATTTCAAGAATAAATACTTGGTTATGTAATATTTTCACTCGACTCGCCACATAAGACACCAATTGTCTATCACAACGGCCTGAAGCCGAGTCATCAGTGTTCATAAGATTCGATCATATGTACTCCTCTTATCCAGCAAATCCGTTGCTGATCCGGCCTGTTTACCGGCGTAGAAATAATGGAGCACGTTTGACTTCAAGTATGGCCCCCTTATCCGATGAATCCGTCATCATCCGGCCTGCTATGAAAAACGAAGTTAACAAGCCGCTTTGACAGCTTTCAGAAATTCTGATAGGTGGCGTACGCTCATTCTAACGCGAATTGCCTCCAACTTCTTAGCTTCTTGCCAGTAATTTTCTAGGATTCGCGGTCGCCAAGTTCATCAGAGTGCGTTACGATGACATCCAAAACTACGGGAAAACATCCTTATCCCTGGCATGGCATAGATTGAAACTTGGAACTTGTTTTCCCAGTAGTTTTTAATGTCACCAGAACGTCATTTAATGCCATGGTGACCGCGAATAGGTCTTTTCATTTAGAAGACAAATGACTATCTGTGTTTACATCTCGCATCCAAAGATAGTGGCGGTCATTTTCACCGAAACACTTGCACCAAACTCCCCAGTAATGAGTAAGTAACGTTTTTTCGATTTAAATTAATATAATACAATCAATACACACCAGGAATATAGAAACGAAAATATTATATTGTTATCGTTGTTTCTCAATGACGAATGCCCATGGTGGTTGACACTGTTGACATTTGACAGAACGTCAATAAAAACCGCCATATTTGAAATTGCCAATCAGAATTTTGTGTCGGAACTATATCAGAGACTTCACCTCCGCATTAACCAATCAAATTTTGGATCTTAAAACGAGCGCATGCGTCTTGAAAATATATCTATATGAAAAGGCCTATTGGTTTTTGAATTGATTTTCATAATTATTATTCCTTATTCAAAAAAATATTTATACGGAACGGAAAAGTGGTTAGAATTGGAATAGGAATTGGATTTTGTTCTAAAACCAGGATTTTCAAATATTTCTCAGCAATTTAATATATTAGTCAATGATTTAGGACATCATTTTTAGGACATTTAGGCCATTTCCGTTAGGAAACACTCAAGTAAACAATACTCTTCATGAAGAACCGGATATTTCTTACCACAACAGGTTTTAGTTTACAGGAACAGAAACGAGAAACTTTAGAAAACAGTCGCAAATTTTCCATTTTTTTATTCAACCACTTTCAACCAGGTTACCACAGTCAAATGCATAAAACTTAGGGATACGCAAAAATAACCAGTGGCCATCTACTTCTTGGCGGGGGCCTTTTTGCCGCCCTTGGCGGTCTTGGGCTTAGCTTGCTTGGCCTTCAAAATTTGCGCCCTCCTTCTCGCCTGCAGCTTGGCGGTCCTGATGACTGCAGATTCGGGAGTCAGAGTTATCTGTGGATGGAATGAAACAAATATTCAACAATTTGAATACCAAAATGTGAGATAGTTTTTTAGATGTTTGGTATTCATCAGAGCTTTTGAAAGATAAGATCATGAAGAACTTCATAAACACGGACCAAAAGCAAATCATCATAAAACAATGCATTTTACAATGAAGACAAAAAACACAGTTATAGAGTGGATGCAAATTCATAAGTTGACTCTTAATTATAACAAATCTTCATATATGTATACTAGCTGACCCGGCAAACATTGATTTGCCATACAAATTATTTCGAGAAAAAAATGCTTCAGATGAATATTAATCAATAAACTTTTAATATTTTATTTCTACTCCTTTTAGTTTGGCTATCCATAAAATCGTATTTCATTAGTATTACAAACTACAATTTTTATTTTTTACTTCTTTTTAGTTCGACAGTCTATCTCGTTTTTCAAACTATACTATCAATTTTCTACTTCTATTCAGTTTGGCGTCGAGTTTGGCTATCCATTGAAGCGTGTTCAATTATAGTTCTTCAAACTACTATTTATTACAAAGGTCTTTCGCCATATTGGATCCGCCATCTTGAATTTCCCAATTCTAAATAAAATCATAATCTCCGACCCCAAAAACCCCCAGATACAAATTTTGAATAGAATCGGATCATAATTACAAAACTCGTCCGCCATATTGGATCCTCAATCTTCAATTTCCTAATTTTGATGGAAGAATCATAATCTCCGATCCCAAAATCCTCCAGATACAAATTTTGAATGGAATCGGATCATAGTTACAGAACTCGTCCGCCATATTGGATCTGCCATCTTGGATTTCCCATATTTTATCCAAAAAAATGTCGGAAACATTATTTGCACTGGTTTGTATTGTTTTCAGAACCATTACATCTGTTTTTATCTTCAGAAATCAAATGGAAAATAGTAGTTGCAGTAAGACAGAAGTTGAAAATATCTTCAAGATAGAATAAGTCTGCATTTACAAAATTGTCTCATGTATTTTCTTCATGAAGAAAAAAAAAATCTCAATATTTTTCTTCAAATCCAAAAATATTGGACCATCCATAGGCGTTTTGTTGTGTTATTGGGAAATAAAACATAGTGGACCAATTAAATTGACAGAAAACAGATACACCATTGGAAAATTCTCTTACCCCACGTTTCTTGGCGAGCTGTTCGTCTCTCTGCAACTGCCTCTTCTGTCCGCTCAGAATGGCCTGTCGTTTCAGGACGGCAGAGTAAGGGTTCAATTGCAGCATGGCCCTTTGGTTGTTCAATGGATTGAGACGACGTACGCGACGAACAATCTTCTTCCTAAGTGCAGGAAAAAAAACCGAACGAAAATTATATCCTTGTCATTCAATATCAGTGAATTGTGGTTTGAGGTTAGGAATGACTCAGCTTGTATCAACAAGTAATCATAACATAGTAATGTTCTGATATAAAATATATAGTTTCATCATTGTCAATAGTTAAGGTAGCGAGATTAACTGGGAATTTTGAGATTATGAAATTGAAATTATTTTATTATAGTGGTAGTATCTGTTCCTACAGCTATGTGTGTATCTCGCTTCTGGAAAAAATCAATGTGTAGCATCCAATCACAGTATATTTTTGTAGATTGGTGGTTTCATTTTCATTCAAATTATTCGAGAATTCAGCAGTCTTATGAGTTGCAGCAGTTCTTTCGAGAATTTTCAACAAAAATACATGTAAAATACTTGGATTACACATGCATTGCCGCAGAAAACTCCGAATATGACAGTTCTAAACTTCTACGACGAAATTTGTGATAATAAGATGTTGAAATTTACAATCTAAATCCATCTTCAGTGTAATCCACCTGGACGGACATGCAGCTCATCTTGGCCTTGCAGTCCATCTCAACGGACCAGCAGTTCACGATAACGTCCCTGCAGTCCACGGTAACGTACCCGCAGTTCATGATAACGTACCTGCGGTCCACTTTAACGAACATACAGTCCAATAATGAGCTTGAAGTCTATCATGGTGGATCAATGGTTCGTCTTGACAGACTTTGGGATCATTAAGGTCCACTTTTTGGCTCCATTTCAGTGTCAGAATCTCGTTGAACGATAGTAAATTTAAATAAATATTTTGAAAAATAATGAATATGAAGCATTATTGATGAATCTCCAACTGTTGCTAAAGTAGAATCAACTGATGGTTTGTATTTAGCAAGAAACGTGAATAATAAGTAGTTTTTTAGGGGTTTTTGAATAGGTATTTTGTAATGATAATTAATTGAAATAGAAATTGAGAAAAATTATGAATATAAAGCTTCTTTTTTTGCTAAAGTAGAATCAACTGGTCGCTTGCATTGAGAAGAAACGTGAATAATAGAATTAAAAAAAAAAGAAAGCTTCTTCCATTGATCTCCAACTGATGGCTATGTAGAATCAACTGGTGGCTTGTATTGAGCAAGAAATTCGCATATCTGACAAAACATGAGTACTTTTTGGAATACAATTTGAATGCCATAACAATTTTTTTTATATGTATGAGTTTTTTAACAGGTTCAATAATTCTGGTGGATCAGAGGTCCGACTTGAAATGGAAATTTAGAAGAAAAAAAAAAGATATTATGATGCTTCTGATCCATCTCCAACTGTTGCTAAAGTAGAATCAACTGGTGGCTTTGTATTGAGCAAGAATCGTAAATAATCAGCAGATCTGACAAAACATTAGTATTTTTTGGTATATGAGTTGAATGCATAACAATGTTTCTATCTGTATCAGATGTTTTCTAATAGGTTCAATAAGCTTTTCTAGTTGTTTTCCATAGATATTTTCTATACACGTAGCATTCTTTCTATATTGAGCAGTTTTTCTATACAATATATAAATCCATAGATATTTATAAAAATGTGCTATGTTTCAAAATATAAATTTTCGTTCTAATAAAGATATTAAATGTATTCCAATAACAATTAGTGTTCTATACAAACTCAATACTAAATCGTGTAGAAATAATCTTGAGGCAATCAGACCAAAGCCCTTTGACCTCTAAGACATCACTGGCAAAAAAACCTTTCGACTTTCAAGGATCCCCAAAGAATCGGGAGCCCAAGAAAACCTATTGTACTGACCGATGCGTTCCCCCCAAAATGGAACCTGCACCCCCGCTTTTCCGCAAACGCCATTTCTGCCCAACAATCCCGAGATAACTAACCCGAAAAGGCCGAGACAGAAAAAAATCACGTCTACGGAGTAGCGGGACACGTTCCATCAAGGGTCCAACTGCATCGTACTTGGCACCGCCCCGCAGGTACCACAGGCGACCCTCTTAGGGCCAGTCCCGTGCATCCTGCAGGACTGGTGTAGAGCAGCGTACTTGGTACCGCCCCGCAGGTACCACAGGCGACCCTCTTAGAGCCAGCCCCGTGCATCCTGCAGGACTGGTGTTGAGCAGCGTACTTGGTACTGCCCCGCAGGTACCACAGGCGACCCTCTTAGGGCCAGTCCCGTGCATCCTGCAGGACTAGTGTAGAAGTGAGGTACGATTTCTCTCGGCCTGTCAGCTACCTCCAAACCGACAGGTCGTTCTGTTGAAGCCTCTTGCTCGGGAAGAGTGGCACCGGTACCATACGCGATCAAAACCTCCTGAGAAGAACCTTCCCTCCATACCAACGGCGCATGATCACTAACACGACGACGCTGGAACGGGCGAGAAGATTCACCCTGAGAGATTCGGGACGTAAGATTACCGATTCGGCGTATTCTTTCTTGCATTGTCAAATCATCGACTTTTACTTCTTGTTGCTCGTGGTACAAACTTTCCATGTTTTCTATGCGTTTCGTCATTTAATTTCGAATTCTCAGAGTTTTCGTGATCGTTCATCTAGGAGTTTACTCTCTACAGGATGTCACCGGCAAAGGCCAGCTCTGGGCTGAAGCCTTCGCACTCGTGTTTCACCCTGTAGAGTCGGCTGATTGCAAAGGCCAGCTCGAAGCTGAAGCCTTTGGGCGATGGGGTCGCCACGTCCCTACGCCGGATTTCGAAATTTTGAAGAAATAAAAAAAGGACACCTAAATCCATTTTTTCCATGAAATGACTCAATTTTTCAAAAATTTTCGGAATGGTTTGCATGGCATATTTTTTTTCAAATTCAAACTCTTACCCATCATGTTTTGCCAAATTTTCATAGTCAAAAATGTTCATTTTACAATTCAAACAAATTTCAATGTTATTTTTCTTGATTTTCTGTGTATTTCAAAAACTGAATGTTCAGTCTACAGAAACCAAACACAAAAATACATTTTTGAAGACAGGTCCTGCAATATCATTCATGAATAGATAAAGTCGAAAAAAAAAACCTGTAAATTCCGGTAATCTCGTTTAGATAAAACAGTGGCAGGAATTTCTGCTATTGCACCCGCATGATGGCGCTAGTATAGTTGGGGAAGGTCATCTGCCATTTGCATGGTATGATAATTATTTGATATTGTTTAATGGAACTTGAAGTTTTAGTTTCAAAATTCAGTCATTAAAAAAATGCTGGTCTATAATAATATGTTGGTTGAAATGTCAAAAAGTTGAACAATTAATAGATACTTGTCATTTCATCACTTGGGAAATTATGTCCAGAAGTTGGATAGGTGCACAAAATCAGTAAAACAATACAATATGAGGCGTGAAGTGAATGATTTGTTTTTGTATGCCAAACTCCAAGCTTTTCCAAGAAGATATAACAAGGCTATGAACTCAATGAATTATTGCACAGCAGAATATTAAAATTTACCAGCAGTGATTTGCAAATGCACAAAATTTCTTCACATTTCAATTACAGAATGTAGTGAAACTATTCAAAATCATTTGGCAATTCTAGATTTCATCCTTTTGAATTGTAATTTTGCAAAATTTCCCAGTTATCCTGCACCATTTTCTGGTTACTGCTCTAATAATCTTTTCAGGCAATGTGACAGTTTATAAATAACAAATATGTTTTTGGCACCCTTTAAAATTGAAAAATGAGGCTGTCACAGAATACCCAACGCCTTTGATATTTTAGGATCTGTTTTCTATGATCCGTCATGGGAAATGAAAGGATTGTACTAACTGAATTTATTCACTTTGTGTGTCATTTATCAGTACCAGTAAAATGTATTCAATTCTTACAAAATTACCCTTACACTTAACTCAATGTGAAGTAGTTTCAAAAAGCTAACTTTTATTTTCAATGGGAAAGACCACTGAGAGAAGAAATCCGTGCAAACCTCTTTCAATCGACGAATCATGATTTACGTTTGATGTACAATCAATACTATGAGTTGAAGTTGAAGGGAATCGAATCTATATCGTTTTGAAATCAGTATATTTCATTCGATATTTTCGACAGCCAAATATGATGGTGGAGTCGTGACGTATTAGTCCCGAACTGTAGCTATCTCTCTCTGATACCTCGTCATTCTGCAGTGTTGAAGTGTGATTGGTCAGTTCAAGGACAATAGGCGTGTTGGGAATAAGACGTCGCACCAGTCACACCAATGAATTGACAAAATTTCAAATGGCGCAGGAATTGTGTGTTTTGAAATGGACATATTCTAATTTATTATTTCCATCGTCTTAGCATGAATGAAAAAATTCAAAATTAATTCGCTGGTAGTTTTTCAGTATGGAGTTCACGATAATGTCATTTCAAAAAATCAGTGGTCTCCCCCATTGATAGATTTGAGGTTTTTCAAGTTGTTTTTTGGAAAAACAAAACTCATTTTCTTCTCAATTGCAGTTCTGCTTGGTCAATAGATAAACAGGGTATATCCATTCAACTGACTCTGATCAGATGAGGAATAAAACCAAGTCTTAGAATTGTTTTTGCAACCTATAGTAGCGCACACATGACAACCTCAAAGTTTTTTTTGAGCACTCCTGTCTACAAATACAGATGAAGCAGATAAAGAATCTAAAATTGGCTTCTTATTCACCACATAAACAAGTGACCCAGGAAGATGGCCGACAACCTGCGCCGTTCAAATGCGTGAACCCACTCCAGCGCGAGAGATGCTATTCTGATTGTTGGGTATTCTGTATTTCTGTAAATAGATTTGGGTTCCATGATGTACTCATCAAGGCACACATTGGTGAAAACAATTCATAGCTTAGGTATCAAAACATCTGATAGACAGGCAACATATTGATTATTATCGAATATGGAATATAAAATCAGTAATACACTTAACCAGATAACACTGATAACATTCAAGCCTGAAAAGTTACGGCAATGCTGGCAGCTGGTTGTTTTGACAGACTTAGGAAATCCTTGAATTTGTCACTATTTGTGTTGTTTATTCAAGGCATTCAGCTATTGATATACAATTCATAGGAACTTTATTGAGTATAAAAATAAAGTAGGTATGTTTCTGACGAAAATATGAATGACAAACTTGTAATGTAATGAAAAAGAGCAAAGTGGTATTTCTGTTTCATGATCAATTCTAAAAATGAATATGTATCTATACGTTTTCTGCCAGTATCTACTTGTAGAGAGTAGAAATAATTACAAAGTATCTCTTGTATGGTACCTCTAACATTACATAATCAAGAATGAATGAATGCCCGAAAAATCTCACTTACTTGAAGATGTCGGAACCGTCATCATCAGTAGGAAACGGAAAAGATGGAAACTGTCAGACATGGCAGTTTCCTTTCCGTCAGTCAAAGTTATACACGGGAATATTCAAAATTGAATTGGGTGGTGAGCTAAATTGGGTGGCACAAAACACAATTTCCTTGTGAATAATCAATAATTTAGTACAAACCTTAGAATACTCGCGCGCCGGCCAAAACGACCGATTGTCAATTTTCAGCTTCTAGTAACACTCTCTGGCAAAAACCAAAAGTATAGACTGGTTCACCGATTCCACTTAGGAAGACTCCGAAGCGCATCATTAAATGACAGCCCAAATAAATGTGGGAGAGCCGCTCTCGAATTAACCAACAAAAAAATCGCCACCTGCCTTTCAAACCCTGTCCAAACAAAATCCGCCCCGACAAAAACCCAACCCTTCTACTTACTGAGGCGCCTTCAGCACTGCCTTGATCTCGTCGGCCTTGAGCAACCTGGACAGGTCCGTGTTGGACATCTTCGGCTGCGGCAGGTTGTAGCCCTTCTTCTCCGCCGAGGAGGATTTCCAGCTGCCGAACAGTTTGTCCAAGCGCGCGAAGGCAGACTCGGTCCAGATGACGAAACGACCGACGTGCCCGCCGGGGGCCAGTTTCAACAGGTTCAGTTTGTCGACGCCGACTAGATCGATGCCGGGGATGTTGCGGAACGCGCGGCGAAGGCCTGAAGGTTCATTTTTTGTTTAGTCATTCGGCCGCTACTTTGAATAAAATCAAAATATTCTCTTTTCTACCCCTGTATCTGCTACCTAAATTGGTCTAAAATTGTTCTATCCGTCATTCGGTTGCCCCCTCACGAGCAACCCTCAGAAGTCTTCGAGAGTCTTGTGCGAGCAAGGAATGACGGGGGTCTTATCTTTTAACGTGTGATCCCAACACTTTCTTGGGCCATCAGAAAAATTTCTGCAGTCGATGGGAATCGAACCCACGACCGGCAAGCGAATGCGGATTAGAATATAGACACTCTGTCCGCACGGCTACCTGGCCCATTTACCTATTTCTCAATTTTGTTTATTTTAAAACGGATTTTAATTGTGAAACATATTTTGGCCAATGAAATAACGTACTTTTCATTAGAGTTCCTAAATGTACTTGACACTGCTGATAGACTAGACAAGCAGTGACAATCAAACATAACCACAAACGATTTTGAAGCAAATCATATGTTCTGCCAGACAAGGATAAGAATGTTTTTCGCTTAGATAAAGGATCCTCGCATCTTCCTTCCTCCACAAGTCCTGGGAAGAATACATCCATATATCTTTCTCTGTCTTTGATTTTTATATGAAAGTGCATAGCGTCCCTCGAGTGGGTGAAAGGGTTACGATAAATTGATTAGAAAATTATTTCTTCTTGAAATATTGATTGATAAGGCTGAACGATCTCAATGGAGGTCAATATCAAGTTGGAATGTACATATATACCAACGAAATAGATATTCTATTTCCATGCAATAAGTTTCTTATATGTAGGTATATATTGGAATAAGGTTCTTTTCCATACTCGCTCAGTTTATGAATTGTGGGTTCGGCTCTTTCTCTCAGTATGATCCTATTCTTCAACATCAAATCTTCCGTTCTGAAGTGTACCTGATAAAAATGCGTTGAAAAATGTTCTATATCCTACCAAGAAATTTGAATACCTCGCAAATTTTGTGGACTGAACCTATATTCCATGCCGGCCGCATCATATTCTGTTTCCATTTTTGTAGAATTACGTTACTGATGGAAATTCGAATAGAGTGAATTGATTTCCCGTGTTCTCACAGATGGAAATTCGAATAGAGTGAATTGATTTCCCATGTTCTCACAGTTGGAAACTGCATAAACTTGCATCTTTATCCTAATTCTCTCAATTTGTCAAACCTTTGAAATTTATGTCATGTACGCCCGTGTACTGTCAGTTCCCGCTTTTTCCATCAATTTATTTGTGGTTATGTCTGTCAAGTACATTTAGGAACTCTACTTTTCATAAGGAAACGAATTTGATATATATAAAATAAAATTTCTTTTTTATTTCAAGAAACCATTATTGTGCAATAATTATTGTGATGATTTAGTGTTTTAAAGGATAAGAGAAAAAAATATTAACTTTGAGGCAAAAAACTACTGCAGGTACCAAGTTCCTCATTTTCGAGACTAGATGGCATAAAATTCATCTATTTTTTTGTGGATTTTGGGCGATCTATCGGCGAAACGAAGAAGCAAATTTTTATGGTGTCATTTGAGCTTATCACTTTATTTCTTCAAATGATACTGAAAGATTTTTCCATGACTTCTGATTCTGATGAGAAATTTCAACCAAAACCCTTAGATGAAAATTGTTAAGGAGTTAAAAAACCCTAGCCAACCTTACTACCAATGAACAAAAATATACCAACATGGAAAAAAATCTAGATAAATATAATTTGGTTGATTTTCAAGTGGTGGTTTCAAAATCGAGTAAAACGGCAAGTTCAATGGATTTTTATCAGTATTTGATAACTAACATGAAATTAGTAAAATTTTCGACGCCACTGGAACTCATATCAATTAAGTAATACTACTCATCAATTCATCTGAGGACCTTGAAGTTCTGTGGAACCATTTACTAGTACTTAAAACATATGTTATATTATTTTCAACATCAATCTCCCCTCCCTGGAGAAGGAAGTGGGGTGTACATAATAATCCATCATGAATGGAATGATGTAGATTTTTTTTATTCTTCTAGGGTATTGTAGAGAACAAAAAATGATGTTTAGGGATCACTATAAAAACTATTGATTTCAAATGGAGATACCCTGTACCTCAAAAAAAAAAAGTCAATTAAAAAATCATCAACTTCAAAATTTTGTTTAGTGTTATTTTCTATAACCCTAATTGAGTAATTTTATACTTCACAAAGTGAAAGTTTGAAATCAACAGGTTCAAATTCACCATTTAAAATAATAATTAACAAGCTTTGTACATGAATATAAATATTGCCATCATGAATGGAATGGCATGAATTTTCTTTATTCTTCTAGGGTATTGAAGAGAAAAAATGATGTTTAGGAATCACTATAAAAACTTTTGATTTCAAATGTAGACACCCTGTACCTCAAAAAAATGTCAATTGAAAAAAACTCATCATCAACTTCAAGAGTTTGTTTAGTGTTATTTTCTATAGCCCTAATTGAGTAATTTTATACTTCACAAAGTGAAAGTTTGAGAGCAACAGGTTCAAATTCACCATAAATGTCTCATATTATACAATATTTATTCACTAGCTTTGAATGATTCACCATAATTTGTCAGATGAGCATTGCCCTTTTCCAATAAAATATCAGAAAGGAACGCCTATAGTCATCTATTTCATTTAGCACAAATTTGGAACATTCTTGACAAGATGAACTCATCAAAATGTGGACATTCAATTGTGCATAAAACAGATAAAGATATTAGTCAACAAAAATAACAAAATATCTTAGATTCAACCAAAAGATTTCAATTCTAATCATAACAAGCTATAAATCCTATTGGTGAATTGAAAACCCAAATTTTGAACAGTAAATATTAAATATCAAAGATAAGTTTTTTTTTTTTTTTTTTTTTTTTTTTTTTTTTTTTTTTTTTTTTTTTTTTTTTTTTTCATTTTACCTTGATCTTTGTGATAAACAACCAATGGTCCTTTCCTTTGAATACGTCTCCTGTTACGCATCTTACCTTTACCGGCACGGAAACGTTGGCTCTTGTATACCTAGTGTGCACAAAAAACAAAGACCAATAATTACATGTCCAAGAAATATCACCCTGCTAATTTGCAAAGTGATTTATCAGAGCTTTTGAAAGATAAGATCATGAAAAACTTCATAAACACGGACCAAAAGCAAATCATCATGAACAAAAAAAAATTAGAATAACAAAATGAAGTTTTTAAAAGGTAAAACTGCATTCATCAAAAAAAGTTTGAAATTTTGCTGAAATTTTGCCACAGGCCATTATTTTAAATGATATTCTTCCCTCTTTCCACTAAATATGGATAAATACCAGAAAAATCATATTTCTAGTTGACTCATATAATAGAAAAAATATATATATACCGGGTGTCAACGAATCTATTAGGCAAGTTATAACTTCTAGACCATTAGGTGTATCAAAATGAGATTTGGTATAGGTGAATGGTATGTGAAGAGGAGAGTTTTCACATATTTTTCACTTCTCGGTCACTTCCGGTATCAGCGGAAATGGCTCCGGTTCTAAATTTTTAAACGGAACACCCTGTATATTGTAACATTTTTGGATTTCTGAGACAATTCTAGATCAGATTGTGACATTTTCGGAGAAGTTTTTAGATTTATTTAGTTTTTAGATTCCTCAAAATATCCTTTTTTTGGAAAGTGCTTGTCAAAAAATACTGGCCATTTGAAAAATAATAGTTGCATAAAAACTTCCGAAAATGTCACAATCTGATCTAGAATTGTCTCAGAAATCAAAAAATGTTACAAAATACAGGGTGTTCTGTTTAAAAATTTAGAACCGGGGCCATTTCCGGTGAAACCGGAAGTGACCGGGAAATAAAAAATATGTGAAAACTCTCCTCTTCACATACCATTTACCTTTACCAAATCTCATTTTGATACACCTAATGGTCCAGAAGTTATGACTTGTCTAATAGATTCGTTGACACCTGGTATATTCTTATATATAAATTGTCCATGATGAAAAATGAAAGGGAAATTGTTCTAAATACAATCCAGAAGACAGGCAGAAAAGAAGGGAAATTTGTAACTTTATAGTGAAATATCTTGATAAATAGTGGTTTTTTCACATGTTCATTATTGATTTCCTGCTTTTCAGACAAAAATACATAAGTAACAACATTTTCAAAAAAAAAAACATCACATGATAAATGCAGTTTTACCTTTATAAATTATGAACTGTTCAACAATTATTTTTGTTCAAAATTAAGGAATAAATAGATTCTAATAACCTTTTGGATATCAGCCCAAGCCTTGATCCTTCTCAAAAACTGCACTGCTTGCTTGGTCTTATTCATTTCCTGTACCTTGTCTGAAACTACCAAAGGCAGCTCTGGAATCTGATCAACAACATGACCTTTGCTCATTACTAGAGCTGGCACTCCTGATGCTGCTACAGCAGATGCAAGGGCATACCTTAAATAAACAAAACATTAATAAAAATCACCTCAAAAATCAAGATGCCATGTTTACCTGCGCTGGTTAATGTTAACCCTACGGCTCCAGCGCCTCCAGGGCTTCGTGGGGGCAAACATACGTCCACCACGACACATGTTTCCAAAGGCACCCTGACCAGATCTGTGGGTACCACCACCTCTGACACGAGGAATACGTGCCACAGCACGACCGGTACCCCAAGATTCAGCAGAAGTCTGGTGGCCTGAAAGAAATAACAGATAGCTTATAAAATACAGTAGACCACCTACCTAAATGTGTGTTTATAGGAAATTGACTCACCAGCTTTGTCGCTGACGCTGTAAGGCTGACGATGGTTCATCGAGACCTGCTGATGGACAAAGTTGACTACATCGGGCCTGATTGGGGCCTTGAAGACAGCTGGGAGGGCGACGCTGGCCCCTTTGACTTCCTCGGACTTTTCATTGTACACGCTTATAAGCGGTCGAGCCGCTGCCAACGACTGAAAATAACAGTATTTATTGTTGTAAGCAGGATAATATGCTGCAACAAAGCCTTTGGAAACGCCATTATGGCAAAACACGTGGAGCTTTTACAGAGTTGCAGAAGTTTTTCATCCTCGCTCTTTGAAGCAGAACTATAAATTAACACCTAAGAAAATAATTATAACAGTAATATCATGAAGCAACATACCATTTCTCAAATATATGTTTTTATAGGGCACTTCACATAAAACTAGAATCGAACGAAATGTCCGACATGAAAAGGAAGTGATTCGCAAACAGGTTTGCCACCTGTCAAAATCAGTATAACTATTACCAACATCGAGATAATGAAAGTAGCTAAAAGAATGTTCTAGTGACTGAAAAGGATGGAACAAAAACTACACCGCCCCAATGACGGCTAAATATCTAGACCAATACCGCCCACACTGAATCCACACTAGACTTTAAAAAATAAACATAACGACGAAGTCCTCATTACACCTATGGAATTCATTACACCAGGATTTTTGTCTTTGACTTTGGAAATAATAAAGAGATAAACTCTCTAATAAGCGAATGCACATGCAATCTAACGTATCACGTGTTTTGAAAATAACTCAATAAGAACAATAGGTATTTTCTTTTACATGAAAAGTGTAACACTATCCTACATTTCGTTAGTAACACTAGTAGCGAATTCCATTGGCAGGAACTGGCGGAGTGTTTCTGCACTCAATGTATATGTATCCCCAAAATTTTCATCGCCTTCGGCTTGTAGTTTTGATATCCTTGTTTTCAAATTTCAAAATGTTTCCATCATTATATACCGTTATTGAGATACCGTTATATATATACCGAATTGAAATACTCTCTACAGCGCGTGATGAATGCCTCCATATATATTATACAAAAACACTTACCATCTGGAAAAAATAAAACTTTCACACACTCAAATGAAAATACAATCACCTCAATCAAAATGAATTCCAATTTTCCACTCTTAAATACTTCGCGTTCTTTTTTATTATCACTTTAATCGACCGTACACGATGAAGTCTAGAACGAGACTGTTGATTGGTTTGATTCATCATTCAAATGACTAATAATTAGTTACGTCATCCTTTCAACCTATTAATTCATGAACCGAACAAGTATGTCTAATCCGATATCGATAGTGAGTATACGGAGTGGAGTGAAAAGAAATTCAAGGATATTTTCTTTCATTTTCATATCGATACGAGGTGATTTGAAATGAGCTCATATATTCAGAAAATCAATGATATATAGGCTAACGGATCTTCCCACGATATCGGATTTTTGCTAACTCTTTTAATTAACGACAAATTTGATCTTGGACATTTATTAGAAATTGCGAAGAAAGAACAATTACGCCACCTTATTGAAGCAATTTGAATTGAACTATGCGTGGATGTGCTTTCCACACAAAAATTTGTACAGAGGTGACGTCAGAATTGCTACAGTATAGAACTTTGGGTGGAAAAAGAGTCTCACCCTGAATTTTATTTGATTTATTTGAAAAAGTCATAATAATGAGAAGAAAGTCATTATAATAAAAAAACAAAAAAGAAAAGTGTGAGTAACATCAGGTTTCTTTCGTGGAAATCAGTTATATCAAATGCCGCATTTCAAAATTCAAATTGCATTTTTTCTCTTCAATACAATTTTCTTCGTTATTTTGAAATTCGTTGGTGTAGCTGCACGAAATATCAGCTGATTCAATGGCGGCTAAATATCTAGTCTGTCTGATTCATAGTGTGGTGCAGATTACACGATACTGAAAAGCAGACGAATGAACCTTTTGGGAGTAGCTCGAGTGCAACAAACACCAGGGGGAAGTTGGGAATGCTTCGTAAGCTTTAGGCTCTCGTCAAAAAACATCTAGACAGAGATAAGTTCAACCCAAGATCATTAAAATAGACAGGTTGCCTCATAAATTTCCAGCCAATCAGCGCCAGCGTGAATTACGTCATTGGTGTGCCCTTTCAAGCCAAGCAAGCATGATCGAGTTTGTTTACATTTATTATTTCTGTCATGCTATGATGAAACATAGAGGTTAATAATTGATAAATCGTGTTAAAATTATGTAGGTATCGTAATTTGTTGAATTTCAGTGACCACTTCTCAATCATCACTACTGTATTCGAAAAATAGGAATATTGTTTAAAATAGTATTCCTTTGTAAGGACCTTTCCTTCAATTCAATATGAAGGAAGACACTTTAAAAAAAGTCTGAATGGTCATCGACTTTCTTTGGTACAGGTATATTTTCCTAAATGACACCCATCGAGGCCCTTGGTATGTTCTGAATATTTGCATTACCACAAACAGACCTTCCATATAACATCTGTTATCAAATCTAGGAATGTAATATCAAGATTGAATCAACCTCTGAAGAAGATACTACTTATGAAAACCAGCTACCTATTGCAAGAATCAGTTGACTAGGTCCTTGAAACCCAATGAAAGTATGAAGATTTTGTTTGACTTCAACCTCTGTGGTTTATTACATATTTGGGTTCGAAATTGTATATTATATCTGATCAGAAACTATGCATCTAGAGATCGCCCAGTGATGCTGGCTACATTGAATGTGGGAGCCAGGATGAGGAAGTTATTGATATTGAATTCATCTATTGAAAAATATTGAAGATTGTGAATAATAAAATCTGTTTGCTGAAAACCAGAGTTCTCAAAGTCTGGTAGTGTTACCTATATTCTTTACATTCATGATGTGACCTACTTCAGACAGAATTGTATGTTTGTATGGGAATTGTATGGGTCACAAAATAGGTGGTTTTATGTCATAAAAAAAAAAAATCCAATGTTTCTAAAAATCATTGATTTTATTGTTTCCTTCATTTGTAATCGAAAATTGTATAATGAACAGCAAGAGATTCATGGGGCTTCAGAGGGCTTGAAATCCATATTCAAGTTATCATAAAAAATAAACTTTTATTAGGAAATACACCTCATTAGGAGAATACAATGTTTGAGTTTTGAAATGTTAAAGTCCTACATTTATTATAATGATAAAAAAGCATGACTTTGGAGTATTATTAACTGTTATAAAGGTTGGAGGTCATGTTCACTGCAAACATAATGAACTATATTTTTTTAACACCTTTTAAGACTTGAAAGAGGATGTACAGGAATCTTTCATTCATTAAACCCATCAAAGTATGGGTGATGTCCTTCACATAACTCCTTCATTGAAATTATGGAATTCATTAGAAAAATAATTACTTACATAATGAATACTTTGATCCACCAAACTTATTCAAAGGCCTGTTACTTTGTATTGCTAAACTTGCTAAAGTTGTTTTATTTCCATAGTTGTCTCTGTTCATGGCACAATATAAACAGAGAGAGTCAAAGAAAAAATATCAAGTGTTCTAAATAAAATAGGAAATAATAGATAGGCCCTTCCATAAAAACAATAATAGTTCTGGTTTGTACATCAAATTTTACTATTACTTACAAATGTGTTTTTCAAGGAGAAGTAATGTGATAAGTATATAGTTTGTCATAATATAGATGGGGGTCTTCCCATGCCTAAATATGGGTATAAAGCAAAAATCGAGTTCAGCCCCTTCCTACCATATGGATCTAAATATCTAAGTCAAATTTGTTTTTCGAATGAAACCTAACCACTTGGGATATTTTCTAGAAGATACATTAATATACATACACATAACAATGATAACACAGAATATTCAGTTGAGTTTGACAATATATATATAATCATAATAATAAATGATCTTCATCTCACTGATGAAGTACAAAGGGCAATTGACCTAGGTCCTTTAGTCCATGAGTTCACATAGATAATATTGATCACATAAGTGATATTATTTATTGAAAAAATCATATGAATTCCTATGTAATGAATGAAACATATTCATATTCCAACAATTTTGCAACATTGATTTTGCTCTCAAATTTTTATAGTAGAAATACATGGTGATGGTGTTCCCAGGGCAACAAATGAATTCCACAATTTTTTGAAATGTTTTGTATGTTAGATAACCCAACTGCTGGGCTTAAAGCTCTATAACTTCCGGTATATTCATAGAGTCAACACACTACAGAAATCAATGTGGGTGATAAACTCGAGGCGTTGAGTTGTGCCAATAATTGTCAGCAGAAGTGTGGCTGATTAGACCTGGTGAGCCGAAACAGCATTCAAATGAAGAAATATCGTGTAAAATTTCATCGCAGAGCGCTTTCGGCTATAATATGCCATCATCAGTACTACACCTGCAAGTACCTAATTTTTTATGAAATGTTAATGAAAAAGTGTAGATTACTTGCTCAAGCATTTACAGAAAAGTCCAAAATTCAATCGACGACATCATTATGGTACAAACGGTAGTAAGAACAGACATACATTTAACAAATAAGTACCCCTATGGGTTATTATTGTAAAATGCTACAATAATACCATATACAGGGTTACTGGTAATTCGATACATTCCTTTGGAGATGTGTTTGGGGAGGTGGTAAGGGGTGAATTCAACTCTAATGTGCCTTTTATAAAAGTCAATAGTTTTTAAGATATTTAAATTTTTCTTTTTTTCCAGTATCCATTTGTACCCAGTCGCTTTAGGAAAGTTTTAACGAATTTTTGACAAATGTGCCTTTGAGATTTTTCTAAAAATAACAGCTAGAAAGTGTTACAATTCATAATTCACAAACAAAAATATGACTTCCTATTTACAATTTATCTTTGATCTAAATTATTTCTTGGAATTTTTTCATTCCAAACATAAGACCATAATGTTGATCATGTATTCTAGTTGAAAGGTTGAAAAAATGTATAGCATTATTCCAGATTTTTGGGGATTTTCTCTCCTTGTTTCTATAAAATAAAAATATGAGTATTATTTCAATAGATAAATGTATAGCATATTTTCCGGAAAACTCACTTTTGGAGATAAACAGAAAAATTCAAATATCTCAAAAACTATCAACTTTTGCATAAGACATATAAGGGTTGAATTCACTCTTTACAACCTTCCCTATCACATCTCCAAAGGAATGTATCGAATTACCAGTAACCCTGTACACTTGGTTTGTCATTATTGAACTATTTTTCTCATTTTTTTTACTAGCTTATTATGAGGCTCACCAGGCACTTTTGAATATTTCCTCTTTCTGGATTGTGGGTCATCCCTTTTTGAATTTAAATATTTAATCCTCACAAAAACTCTGAGTTTGCAGAAGGAGTCAACTATGATTTTTGGAATGTTAAGATCTGCAACTTTTGATGAAATATAAATAGATGTATTATTAATCACATTTTCCTTGCAATAGAATGAATCCTTATGATACTTTTGAAAATATTTCTCCATTTTCTCAATCTGGGTATCCCATTCTTTTGAAGGCTGAATTAGGCCTCCAAAAGAAAGGCTTTGAACCCATGAGGGCATACTATAAGAATGTACATCTATAGTTTCACCAAGATAGGTATATTTTCCTAGGTAAGGAAATGTTTTTAAATGTTTTTTTGCAATATACCCAGCAATATAAGATAGTCCGTCCTTTTCAACCATTTTTCCTTGAGATTTAGGTGACGAACTTGAGGATGAGACGGTACTTGAAGACGAAATCCTTTCAATTGCTGCTGGTGAATGAGTGGCTTCAGTACCTACACACTGTAGTGGTTGTATCTGAACATTCTTGATTTTTGCTTTTTTGAGGGCACTAGATAGCAAAAATTCTTCCTCTTCATCTGCATCTGCATTGCTCTCAACATTCATATGAGTTTGAACCAAACCTGGATTTTTACCTAGGAGAATCATACGGATTCTATATAGAGCATTTAAGGGAGAAGGATGATCATGAAGTCCTCCTCGTGTTCTAAGCTGAAACATAAAAATAGCTATACTTGTTTTCTATCTCTCCATTTATTGAGAATGACAAACTCGATAGGTATAGTTTTACAAAAAGTAAAATAATAATAGGTACCTGGGAAAAGAAGTTCTCTAGGCAATCCTGATTTAGTCTATGAGTTAATATGTATGTAGCTTTCAGTTTCTCTTTCAGATGCAAATATAAATCCTGTAGGGAAGTAGTTGATATGATGATACCCTTTTGAAAAACTTGCAAAGAAGTTTTGCCACCACATAGCATACCACCAATAATTGTTTTCATTTCTTGCAAATTCTCATTTTGTTGTTCAAGATCTAAACCATATGGCTTTTTAGTTGGAACACTAGCAGAAGGAGTATATGAGTTCATAATATCGAACCAGTTATTCACCAACTGTATGAATTTTCCATTATTTTTAGCTTCTTTCTCATGTTCTCCAAATTTATAATACTGAAGAGCAGTGGCTGTTGTATTGGAAAATAGCTCTGCAGCAAGTCTAACATTCTGTCTTTCTGTTTTAATGCAATTTAGATGTAAATTTTTCAGCTTGTGACAGGAACTTATTTCACTACCTGAGTGTTCTATCAACTTTTGCACTGGTATTTTATTTATTGATGTACCATCCTTGAGAGTGAATCCAGTGTCTATAAACCAATTTCTGAGGAGCTTTAATAAATGGGGTACATCAGCAAAAAAGTACACAGGCTCTTTAGTTACTGGATGGTCATGATATGTTTTATTCATATTGATATCTAAGGCCTTCCATAACCCTTGGTTTCCAGCACCACAGTCAGAGACACAAGCCACTACATTATATTTTATATTATGCAGTTTAGTTATTGCAGTTTCTAATAATTCTTTGGTCATTTTTTTATCAAAACCAATATATATTGGCTGCTTCCACTTATCGAACAGACCTCTTGCCATTATTACTTGCATGTATGAGTGTGGACCAACAATTTGATCTTCCTTTTGGTCATATTCAAGTATTGAAGAGACTTTAATTTCATCAAATGATAGGACTGTTGTTCGTTGAAATTCATTTTTGTCCCTAGCAACAGTCTCCATAACTCGAAAAATATCATTCAACATACCAGACCTCAAATTGATATTACCAGCCCATCTCTGTAATGTAGAAATACTAGGTAGTGGGTATTTCAATGTTTCTCTCAGGTATACATAACTCCTTTTCCCCAAATACCTCAGTGTAAATGCTTTAGAAAGCTCTTCATTTGTCCACCTGACTTTGTTCTTTTTTTTCAGAGCAATATCCACTTGATTTGAAGACATAAAATCTTTAAAAAGATCCTTGGCCTTTTTTTCAAAGGAATTTTCAGGCTGTTCAATTCCTTGTTCAAGTTCAGCAATTCTATTGTTGAATTCATTGTTGCTCTTTTTCATTTCATTCCTCAAAGAATCATTTTCTGTCTGTAATACTTCTAATTTAGTTCTCAATGTATTGTTTTCTGATTGTAATTCTTCCACTTTCTTCCTTAATATATCATTTCCTATTTGAATGAGTCCATATTGTTTTTCAAAAACTTTCAGTTGGTCAGGAACAACTTCTGGAAATGAATAAAATCAGTACCTGTATAATACTATACCAACATTTTATAGATATTCTCTAAGCCCATCTGATTGCAGAATCATCTGAATTTAAAATATAAGTAGCAATAAGAATAAGTACCATTATTAATTTCGTTTTCTACCTCCACTTCCTGGATTTGATTTTCTGAACTTTTCTTGGTGTCAGCTGATTCTGAAGAAACAGAAATTGATTCTTGATGGTCTTCTAAAGGTGAGAGGAATAGTGATGGTACAGCTACAAAAAAAAATAATATTAGTACACTTAGCAAATTTGGACCACACATACACTTCACGACCTGTTCTTTTCAATATCTTTGGAGCAGTTTTCAAAAGACTTGCTTTCAGACAATCTTGATAGTCATCTGGTACGAAATGTCTACTACAAATACGTTTGCATTTTGGCGAAAATGGATCTGTCCTATTGCACTTCCTCACCCATTCCTCACATATCTCGGGAGTTCTCGGAAAACGAAAAAATCTCAGATTTTCGTTCTTTTTGGAGTATCTCGAATTCTTCTTGCAGCCAGCCACACTACAAACTGTCCCACCTGGCATCTGGAAGGGATTCGAAGGATTGTTCGTTTTTATCACAAACAATTATTATAGGTTATTATAAACATATTTCATAAAATAGATTTTATTACTTACCTTGTTTTAGATGTATGACAAACTGATATTCAATTGCACAATCAAAATGCTGAATAATCATAAAGATGAACCATCAAACTGAAAACTAACTGAAAAGATTAAACTAATTTGAAAGTAATAAGAAAAGAAACAAAGCTTCCGCGCGAATATCGAAAGCTTTTTGAAATTCAAAAGAGAAAAGAACCGTTCGGGTGGGCGAGGCTCGGGCACTCCCATGACGTCACGATCATGCGTCCATTGCGACCTTGAAAAGTTATGAGGCAACCTGTCTATTTTAATGATCTTGAGTTCAACCTATATTCTTTGATAAGTTACCCAGTGGGTAACACTTATCTCTGATCTAGATTACTGTGGAAGTTTTTTTTATTGACTATCGATTATTTGACGTCTTTCATTTTCGTGTCGTTTCGGTCGTTTCATTTGGTCGTTTCATGGTCGTATCAGTTCTTAATTTGCACTAGCATTCCGCTGAAGTTTTGCTGAAACCAAAATATTACTGTAAATACAAACCACCAAACGTGAGTTGAGTGACTAATAATTAATTGAGAGCTGAATATTCAAATTTCCCTCATTTTCCTGACGTATTTTCCGCTTGCTAACGTCAACGTCATTGTTCACGTACCCCACCTCCCACCTCTCCCCCTCCAATTATCACACGTGCGGAGCGAGCTACAATATGCATTTTTCATTTTCGACATAACGCGGAAATTGTTAATTTCTATTTTATTTGTAATCGAAAAATCAAAGCTGATCGAAGAGCAGCCTCATAAATTTCTAGTCCATTTTTTTTACTTAGTCGATAGTTCGAAGATCCTGTTGTGGTAAGAAACTTTCAATATTTTATTTATCGACAAAAGCTCTGTGCTATTTCTTTTTTACCGACTGGGTGGGGCTGTGGAAAAAATTGAAAATAATAGGATCTGCTTCGCCACGTGTTGTACTGTTTGCTGTTTACGATATTTTGACACCCTTTTATCGAGTTACTCGCTAAATCTAGCATCGGCCTGTTCTTTTAGATTTAGTTAAGATGGTACAAAACGAAAGTTCAAACTCCGGTGACGAATCAGTGGTCCCGGCTGTCCCAGAAAACCCAGCCAAGGGCATTGATACAGGCAAATACAGGCTTGTAGGATGGGGCATCGATACTACCGGCAGGAGGCTCATTGACGAAATTGTTCAGTTGGCAGCTTACACTCCAGATTCTCAGTTTTCCCAGTACATTATGCCATTTGCTGACTTGAATCCGGTTTACAGCAGGCGCCATGGGATCAGAGTTGTTAATGCTATCCGCTACAGAAGGCTCAGGGACTTGAACACCCATCAGTTTGTCAAGACAAAAAGTGAGATCTCTGCCCTACAAGACTTCCTGCAATGGTTAGAAACCATCAAAGGTGACGATGTTGATGGATTAGTTCTGATCTACTATGAAATCCGTAAAGCATCCCCTGGAATGCTTTTGGAATCCTTGAGACGCTACCAACTTATTGAACGCTTTTCCAAAGTGGTCAAAGGGTTTGTAAATGGCTTCAACATTGCACAGGGCAAGTGTGCAAACACCACAAAATCATTTAATTTGCGTGTGATGTCTAAAGTTCTGTTGAATCATGAAGATGAGAATTTCAACAGTGCTGTGGATAGAGCCAGGGCTTCTTTTGATATTGCAGTCCATCTGGCCCAAGGAGAAAGAGTTGAACTTGAAGGAGAAGGAAAACCCACTGGGGAATGTAGTGGAAAGGAAAGCCAAATTGTTGATTTTGTATGTCCTTATGCTAATCCAATAGATGCTGAAGAAGAAGAAATAGCAGTTTTCAAGGTGAGTATTTTTCATTTGTGAGATGAATAAAAATGAATTCTCATTAAATATGTGCTAAGATTTCATTATTAAAAGTATAGTTCTTGAAACTAATGAATTGAGATTGCAGGTTATTTTCTGCATTTATGCTCCTGTGCCAAAATACAGTTAGTATTCAGCTTCTGATGATGAAAAAAAGTTATAAGAAGGTTCATAGATTTATTTAACTTTTTTGGTTTCAAATGTTTCAAGGTCCCATTTCAGGTATAAATCACAAAGTTTAACCACTTTTTGTTGGTGACAGGAGACATTTTTTTTTCAGTGAGCTTCAATCTCCATCTAGGTTTTCACATTTCTCTTTAGTATATTTTAATTTTGAATTATCCAAGGAAAAAATTCTTTGGACAATAAATTCTCTTTTGCTCTTTTGATAGGATCTCATAGCCTGAGAATGTTTCTACTAAAATGTCCAATTCAGAAAAAAATCTATGAATGCATATGTTTCCATGTTATTTCTGTGATAGATATTTGAATTTAATTATTTCTCAATGTATTGAAAGTAAGACAGGTCATATTCTCTTCCTTTTCTAAAAATGAATTGAAAGATTCAAGATTTCCTAATACCAAGTCTAGATATTTTAGAATTTATTTGTTGATATGATAACACTCAATTTCCATTTCATGTAAACAATTTCATTATCTTCAACAAAATATTTGCAATATTGTTGTCATTTTTAAATTGTTATTATCAGATAGAATTTGAGATAATTCCAAATGAAAATTATTTTGTTATTTCAGTTGATTTTGATGAAATAACATATTTTGATTGAGTAGGAATTTAATCATAAGTACCCCTATTTCATTTCAAGTCTGTACAGGCTGTCCCAAATTGGTTTGCTGATGTGTTGATAAGAATAGAGATAATATATGTGCACAACCAATTGGGACACCAATTCACCTTTATGCAGACAAATAAATGAACTCATCACTAGTAGTAGTTTATTGAAAAAATAGGAAAGCCTAATATACAAACATCTGGAGCATCCATAAAACATTTAACATCACACATATATATGTATAAAATTCACAATAACAATTCATAAGTTATACAAGACACATATTTAAAAACCATTAACAATAATACTAAAAACAAAAAAGAAAATTCAACATATAGTCAACAGATAACTAAACAATCAAGCTAATAATACAGAAAACTCAATACAGGTTGAGGACAATATCAAGTAAAGAAACAATAATTGAATATAGGATAATATGTTATAAACATTTCCATACAATACCCACCCGTCCAACATTCATAGAGTTTTAACATACTTCGATAATGATGATTTGAAAGAAGATAAAGATACTGATGATTTTATATGCATAGGTGGTAAGGTAAGAGAAACTTCAGTTTTTTTTTATTCCTCATTGATTGCTTGTTTTGTTACCCTACTACTTGACTGTTTATTATAGGGATACATAACCAAATATTAGTGAAAAACTTTAATAAACAAAAGATTACCCAAATTCCAAGCCAAATTCTGACTTCTTGAGGTGAAAATTAATTGCACCAATTTGTCCTGGCCAATTATTTTTCAAGATTGATTCTCTAGCTTCTTGTTTGAAGTTTTTACATTTACTATGGATTTCTATCAAGTATTGGCAGAGTCAATTCAAAAAATTCTTGTATGTTGTCTTAGATCCTGTTGGAAAGACAGAACACATTCCGACCAGTTTTTGGAGCCCTACTGAGGGCAAGCCGATTGGAGAGACAACATGCCAGTCATTTGAGAAGGCTTTTGGCTGAAAATAACATCAACTATGATCAGCTGAAGACAGCATATGATTCAGAGGCCAAAGAGGGACTGGAAAAAGTCATCAAGAGTGAGGTTAGTATGCAATTGAATTTCAGTCCATTATAATTAGTTTGAGGGTCTCAGAAGTTGTTCTTGCTCTCTTATTTTCTATAATTATTAACAATTCAACAGTTTTTATGAGAATTCAATATTTTTGATAGTTGCACTGATTTTATTCACTTTACATTCAATACCAATCTTACAATATGAAATGTCTTATTCCTGAAATGGTCAATTGCCACACTTGATTATTTTGGTGAAAATCAAGGGTTTCAAGGAACTTTGAAAAATTACAGAATAAATCATCTAAAGTCAATTTTATTAACATATAAAAAATTGTGTGAATAATTGAGGTATCTTAAGAAACCCCACATGATTTACTAACAATAGACAAGAGGACTATTTTTTTTATTTCTTGAATACAATCACTTGAATCACTTTTAATTTCATATATTTTCAGAATTTTTCAGTCAATTTTTAGGTGCAAAAATCATCAATAATACCATGGTAATTTTCAAAGGAATAGAAATTTACCATGAGTATAAACTGACGTCATGATTTCGTAAGTAAGGGCAGACTATAGCATAGTTGCCATGTGTTGAAATAGTATTGGGAACTTCAGAATTATTAGTTATTCAATAATTCATAAATTCTCAATTATGTGTTGGTAATATTCCTATTTAGCAATACAAAATTAATTGTCTCAAAATGTTCCCTTATGATTTATGGTTTATTGCTTGAAATAAATTCGTGTAAATAGTAATTATATCAATTCACACTAGAGGTCATTTGAAGCGGTAAACGTGTGGGCGTGGTCTTGTCAGTTTTCCGCATTCAGCACAATGTTTCAAAGTCTCCAACATTTACATGATATTTTGTTATGGAGTATAAGAAATATTTGGACATGCTGGTTTCTCCAAAAAGTCAAGAATGAACAATAATATCATGGGTTCCTTCTATTATGTTTCATTCAATGACATGACTCTTACATCTTTTTGATAAACTCTCTTATAATTGGTGACTTGACATCCTTGATTCATGAGTGGGAATAGAAGATTATCTGACCAATAATGATTGATTGATTGATTGTCTTTATTACCCCAAGAAACATTATTGTTTATAATAGGGATATATACAACAAAACATACATATAACATGATAAATCGAAATAATAATAATTGCTCAATTATTGTTTTTCATAAAAAAAAAATAATAATAAAATATAAAATGAAAATATTATAATCCATTACAAGTAATCAAATTATAAATGATATTTCTTTAATTTGATTTTAAATTTTTCTGCTTCTATATTTTTCAACTCCTCAGGTAAGGAGCTATATAAAATTATTCCATTATGAAATATTGATTATTTACCAAAATTTGACTTATAATTATTTGCTATCAATAAATTAAATTGCCTTGTTTCATGGGCGTGAATCATATTAACTTCATTTGATAATTTCAATTCCTTCCTGACGTCACCATTTATTCAACGTATCGCCAAATGGCGACCATGACGGTACGTTTGAAATGAGTTCTGAAATTCGAACAAGGCATCGACTCATTATTTACATAAAAAAAAGCATGAGAAGTGATGCAAAAATTAATTTAGGTCCCTTACAGACACAGTGGAGTATTTGAATGCCAATAATTCATTATCAGTCCACTGGCTCATTGGAAAATATTATTCATCATCAGTTTTTCCACATCAAGTTTGAATGTACCTACCAGAAAATGTAAAATAATTCAAAGAAATTCCAAACAATTTTATGAATTGATCAGTGTAAATATTTTTTATACCAATTTTCAATATTTTTTTAATTAAATTCAAAGAGTTTGAGGGATATTGAAAAAATATTGAACAGAAATAATTTTTAGTTTTATAGAACCTATTTTCTGATTACCCTGTATACTACCCAAATGGTTCTACAACACATTATGCGCGTACATAATATCCGCGTCATTAAATCCGCAACAGACACATTAGGTTTGTTCTCGTTAAAAAAATAAAGAGTCCGAAACCATCGGAAGCATGCGCAGTTCCAAAGAACATGGAAAATGCTATTAGTCCTTTGAAATTGCGCATGCTCCTGATAGTTTGGACTGTTTATTTTTAGAACGAGAACAAACCTTATATCGACGACAAAGAAATTTGTAATTTATTGCAATAAAAATTGGGATATTAAAAATTGTAGAAAGTACAATGAATGTAATAAAATACAACTCACTTGAACACACCTTCCCAGGCTTTGTCCCTGGTTCACATACTATAATCATTCTCTTCTTACCTCAATCATAATAAGATACAAAAATAGTTATTTATACACCAAGGTAGCATAAGGTAGTATGGTGTTATATTACATTTTTTTCACCACATGCAATATATTTCAATCATTATCATTCTGTGAAACTGAAATTTGGACCTATTGTATCTTATGTAATTTTTGGGTAAGGATCCTGAAATTTGCTGGAGTGAGCGATATACCAAAAATGCACTCGATGACCCAGTGGGGTCATCTTCAGTGATATACACTACTCGCCAACAGTCATGGAACCACCCCAATTTCCGGAAAATGATATGAAAAGATTCGGAATCAGGACGCTCAATTCACTAACTAATTATATTTTTCGCAATTTTGTCGCACTTTTTACAGAAGCACCCTCGTATCTTACGTAATTGACTTTATCTTTGGGCTTTCCCTTCCTCCTGCAAATTTCAGAACCCTACCTCAATGATTACGTGGGATACGGGGGTGCTTCCATGAGAAGTAAGACAAAATTTAATTAGGTCTGAACCGAACATTTTTCTAGAAAAACTATGAATAGCAAGTGAATTGGGCGTCCTGATTCCGAATCCGAAGTGATTTTCAACCTATTCTGACTCCTAATATCATCGTTGGCGAGCAGTGTATATCACTGAAGATGACCCAACTTGGTCATAGAGCGCATTTTTGGTATATCTCTCGCTCCAGCAAATTTCAGGAAACAGCTTCTACAAGTTTACTACTCACTCGTCTACTCTCATATATCATATCACATTGTCTTATGGGGAAATTCACCCAATGCATCCCGAGTCTTCATCATGCAAAAGAGAATAATCAGACTGATCTTTAATTTGGACTTTCAACAAACATGTAGAGAACACTTTAGAAACCACAAAATCCTAACATTTCCGTCAATATATATCTATAAATGTATTTTGTATGCTAAGAATCATCTCACTGAATTTCCTAAAAACCAAGATTTCCATAACTATTCAACAAGACATGGAAAACAATTTTGTGTCCCTAAACATTCAACCACTCTATATGAGCACTGTCCACAGTATAATGGAATAAAATTCTTCAACCATCTCCCACTATCCATAAAAACCTTGAATGACCAAAATATTTTTAAAAGAGCTCTCAAGAATTATTTAATTGAGAAGTGCGTGTATACAATTTCTACTGATAATATGTTTTAAGTCAATGCTTTGCATACTGCGCCATATTGAATTTAATTTTCAACTCTATGTTTTTTTGTAGATACCTGTATTCCTGACATGTCTTATATCATTGTGTGTGATCTTAAAAGATGAATAAATTTTATTATTATTATTATTATTATTACCCAACGATTACATAATATACAGGGGTGTTTCCATTAGAAGTGGGTCACACTGTATATAACCTAATGCTGATGATGTAGCTTTGAAGCCTCGAAACATGTCCCTTTGAATTGCTTACATCTAATATATAAAATTCTCCTATCTCAGTCATGGTGTTAGTGGTCAAACTCTGAAACGGCTCGACCGACTTCCATGTACAGCATTGTGCGTATTCGGTAGGTATGAGAGTCGGTCGTAATCTATTTTTTTAAATAAAAAATTCAAGATGGAGGATCCAATATGGCGGACGAGTTTTTCACCGATTCTATTCAAATTGGTATCTGGGGGTTTCGGGGTCGGAGATTATAATTCTTTTGTCAAAATTTCAAAATTCACGATGGCGGATCCAATATGACGGACGACTTTTGTAGTTATGGTCAGATTCTATCAAAATTGGTAACCGGGGGTTCTCGAGGTCGGAGATTATGATTCCTTCGTCAAAATTAGGAAATTCAAAATGGCGGGTCTAATATGATGAAAGAGTTTTTTCAATTATGATCAGGTATCTGTAGGTTTTCGAAGTCGGAGATGATGATTCTTTCATCAAAATTCGGAAATCCAATATGGCAGACGAGTTTTGTTACTGTGATCCGATTCCATTCAAAATTTTTATCTGGGGGACTTTTGGGTCGGAAATTATGATTCTTTCATCAAAATTAAGGAATCAAAGATAGAGGATTCATTATGGCGGACGAGTGTTGTAATTATGATCCGATTCTATTCAAAATTTGTACCTGGTGTTTTTCGGGGTCGGAGATTGTGATTTTATTCTTTAAAATTAGGAAATTCAAGATGGCGGATCCAATATGGCGAAAGAGCTTTGTGATAAATAGTAGTTTGAAAAATTAATGAAACACGTTTTTATATTATATAAACTAAAAAGGAGTGAGTAGAAAATGAAGAGTAGTTTGAAAAAATTGAGAGATATAGGGTGCCGAACTTGAAATACGAAAATAAATACAAATGTTTGGAAAACTGAAAAATCCCGCTATTATGTATGTTTTTCGATGAATATTTATCTAAAAAAATTTTTTTTCTACAAACGTCAAGAAATGACAAGGTTCGCGCATTGATAACAAATTGCAAAGTGACCCTTTTTTTAGTTTCCTATGTTACCATGATACCTTGCACAAAACAATGCACGAAGTACCTACTTCACGTATTGTTATCTAAAATATATGAGATAATAGGCGGATGCCTTCAAACCCAGTTCAAAACTATTTTTTATATCAAGCTAGGCATATTTTTACCTTAGAACTATATTTTTTGATGTTTATGATCGAGATCAGATTTTTTTTAACGAGGCGTAGCCGAGATACAAAAATAACTATTGTTTATGGCAAAACATTTGCCGGGTCAGCTAGATAAAGTATAGGGTAAAAGTGCACTTATTGGGGTTTTTTTCGAAAATTTTTTTTGGTACTTACGTATTTTCGTCTGAAAAACGCGAATTTCATAATGAAAATGTGAACAAACCACTATTAATCGAGATATTTCAAGAAAAAGTTCGAAATATTGACCTCTTTTCCCCCTTGTGTTGGATGCATTTACAGGTACTTGCTCTTATTATTTTGTCATTGGACACTATATACTCATGATGTACTTCACTGACACATTTTAAGATAGAAAATTCAACAGAAAATATGATTTTTCCTATTTAGTGAGCAAGCATACCAGATGACGGCCATTTAATCCATATACAATCCAAATACGAGATGTCAAATGTCAATAGATTGCTTTGGAATGACATTACACACGCCATTATTTCAAATGATATTCTTCCTTCTTTTCACTAAACATGGATAAATCACAAGAAAATCATATTTCTAGTTGACTCATATAGGGTATGTTCCGTTAATCAACCGGAGTTACCGATGCTTTCAGGGTCGGTACCAACAATTTTGACAGTGGTTATCTATTGGTGACTACGGTTGTGGCTTATTTACGGAATGCCAATGAACTCAATATAATATTGAGTTCATTGCGGAATGTCAGTCATTCGCCAAATTATAGTATTGATCAATATTTTAAAAATTCATGCTCTGCCAGTATTTGATTTTCAATTATGGAACCCATAAGTATCTAAATTAATTCTTGTGCACAGTAAGCACAAGCAACGCATAAGTAGTGTCCTAAAAATTAGAAAAAAAAGTCATCAAACTAAAAATATATCGAATATTCTTAATTTATTTCAGTGAATGAATCCATCGGAACTCAACGCAATAATAAATTGATAATTTGTAAATCGAAAAATCAAACCGAAAACTTAAACACGTCAACGTCAACTCAAATTCACCGAACTTACCAGATAAAATCCACGGTCGTTCTGGTGACAGTGAATCTACCGCTTTTTTCAGCAACCAAGTTCCGTAAATACCCTTTTTTCAGGAACCAACCGAACATTTCATATTTACGGAACGGAAAACTACTAACCGACATAACCAAGTTGATTTACGGAACATACCCATAATAAGAAAAATGTGTCCAACATTGTGTGATATATATAAATTGTCCAATGGAAAAAGAAGGGCCAATTGTTCTAAATGTGATCCAGAAGACAGACGGAAAAGATGGTGGAATTTGTAACTTTATAGTGAAATATCTTAATAAATAATGGTTTGTTCACATTTTCATTATGAAATTCGTGTTTTTCAGACGAAAATACGTAAGTACCAAAAAATTTTTTCGAAAAAAACCCCATCGCATGATAAGTACACTTTTACCAAGTATAATTTTGGTGTATTAGACTGTATGAATTTCGCCCTGTCCTATTGTCTTCAGCTCTTCACTCCCTATAAGATGAATCGCCTCAGATGGTTAAAATTCTATTCAATGTCCTGTCCTCTCTCACCCAAGGTGGCCAACGCCAACGAAAAGGACCGCGAAGAGCTTCTCGAGATCCTCGACTGCTTCTTCGATCCGGAGAAGAAGGCCGTCCAGCCGAAGTTCCAGCAGAGGGGGGGCGGAGCCGGCGGCGGTGCGTACCCGTACTACCCGCGCAAGCGCAACAACCGCCCGCCGCAGAACCGCAAACGGAGCGGCGCTTCGGAGGGCGACAATCAGACCAGCGAGAGCGGATCGCCGAGGAGTGAGCAGGATGCCGCCGCTGCACAGGTCAAGGTGGGTGCAACTTCTTTTTTTTTATGGAACAGTAATTTTCCTAAAAAGTGCGGAAAGTGCTACTTTCCCGCACGCGAATGCCGTTGACACGAACGACACGAAGCGGAGTTCGGGCAAGCAGTCGAGTGCGCGAAAAACACAAATTGAATAATAGTAAGTATAAAAATTATATGATAATTCAGTATTATAATCTTCCATACATCATGTAGACCATAGTGGAAGGAGAAGATGGTGTGCTCAACAGAAAGCTCAAACTCGTCTTGTTCTGCGCATGACGTCAGCTGGGATATAACTGTCATTGTTATTATTTGTTTTCCTGATTGATGTCTCGAACTTCAGATATTATATAAGTACTGAAATTGAATGGAATGATTTAGAAATGCCTACTTGTTTCGTTTCTGGTTATAAAAACTCCAACTTACATACAATAGGCACAGGTATTGAATTGTTCTGCTTCTCCAAGAATGGAGACCTTATGAAACGATAGGAGCTTGCTGCCGAGAGAATATATTCTAAAATTTTGGTACCTACCTTTTATTCCTTATATCCTTTTTACAAAGTATTCACCAATCATATTATCATCACATTCATATAAGAGCATGTATTTCTTCAAAACATTTTCATGCAAAATGTTCCCAAACAAGTGCGAGTTCTTGAATTTCACACCTCCAAAAAATCACAAATATTTGAAACAAGATGCCATTCCTACAGAACATCTTCCGTCGAATATCAAGTCAGAAATAAATGGAAATGAATTCAAAACTCTTAATTTCTCGCAAAATATAAATTGCAGCAATGATTTGAATAACAAAACGAAAAAAAATGATACTCCTGATGTCGATGTCGGAGCAGAAGCAACGTCAACGTCGTTAACTGCTGAATTTTAATCTGTCAGAATCAACACACGCAGTAGTGGATCATTCAGATGGGATTGGCAATGCATGATAATTCGTATGTATTTGCTATTTGCGATTGCAAATGACCTCAAGATCACAATTTCCATAATCAATGAAATAGTAGAATCAAAGGAATAGGTACCCGTTTATATGAATTGAATTATTTCTAAACTGATCGAGAAACTTATAGAAATTTCAATAAAAATGATTGAATTCATTGCGCACGTCCATGGCAACGGTATCTGTCTGTGACTAGCAGATGATATTGGTATCCCAGATGACGTCACATAAGATGCGCGTAGGCACACCATCTTCTCCTTCCACTATAATGTAGACTAAATAAAGATCACGTGAGCTTGCGGGAATATTGCCACATTGTTCTTTTGTACTTTCACATTGCTATGGTGATAATGAGATACTTTCTAAGCAACAACACAGTGTGCAATATCATGCTTTCATATGTGATCAAAGGAAAATATATTGAACTTCGTTTCTCAAAATGAGATAATAATAATATAAGTTTATTCAAACACGTTTACAAAATATACATTGGAATAAACATATAGGTAATTTGAATAAACTGGGAAAAACCTTACGAAGTTAACCTTGTAGTAAGGATAAAAATAAATAAATGTTCATAGGTCAATAAAGATAAATTGCGGTTTACATTTCTCAAGCAGCCAACATGGTTGAATGCAAACTGTCCTGTTCAAGTGAACTTGAATAATTATTGCATTAATGCAATTTTTGATATCAGCTGGAGTGACAAATTATCGCTCAATTTCGATTTGATTGGTCATGAGAATGGATGAAACGGCGAAACCAATATGGATAGAATATGGTGTAATCACAGACAGTGTTTTGTTTCTCCCAAAACGCTTGACCCCAGATTCTGCAATAATGGCATATTAGTTCTCAGTTGTCCGCAAGATGGTGACATTTTTTGCAGATTTCTTTCATGGCAGAAACATATACCTATTAATAAACAATACGGATCATAACGGGTGCCAGGATGAAGCCAAAAATATGAAACAAATGAATATCCATAAGGATTTGGTGGCATGATACGCATGCGCTATTATAGTAGTCATCAAAGACATGCGTTTCGGTGGACAATGACGTTTACTAGCCTTTCAATCAAAGCAGTATGTGTCTGATCGTTTCAAAAGGTCATGACATTCTGTTGTTTTTGTTTACGTTTCGCGGACATGTTTATTAGCGATTTTTCATCAGTGGTATCCATAGATTTCGATAAATTCAGTGATTTCAGGGTGTTTAAAAAGATATAATTGTTCATTTATTATCAGTGTTTATTGTTAGATTTCCAGTTGTTTCATGTGAAATTGTATATGTACTTATCTAGGAATGCATCATATCAATTATGGTTCATTTATGCTATTCCTGATTTTTAAATTGAAAAGCCAGTACCTACTGAGGCAGTGGGATAATGAAAATGGGATGAACATATCATAGGGAAACCAAATGTAAGTAATTAGCATTTGATATTCTCAAGGGTAATTTTGTAACACCTCATCATTTGAAAAACTTACCTACCAAGATAATGAAGACCTGTGGACAAAAATAAATAAATGATTCCATTCCTTCAGAATTTATATTTTCACTAGCATGTCCTGTATCATTCATAATCATTAAATCATCCTGAAATAATGAATTATATCCCGAAAATCCTAATAATAAAACATAAACATAGTCCATAAATGTCATGTCACTCATGTCAAAATATTCAAAATAATGAGTTAGGTTAGAATGAATGAGAATGATTGTCATTTGAACTTGCGTATTTGATCATGCGCAGTATCTCACTTTTCCTTATGGATAGTCATTTGTCTTAAAAAATCGGCTTCATGTTTCGCTATGGAAACAGATAGAGATTATCCGTATTGATTATTAATACGTATATGGGCAGAAAACGGCACTTGGACCAGAAATAATAAATCATAACATTCATAACATAACCTCAAATCGAATGAGATTGAATTTGAAAGTATGAAACTGTAATTTTGGGGAATTTTAATTATCATCAGTTCTACCAACCTTGGATTTTGGTTGAGATTTCGCCATCTAACGGGTAAAATGTGACATATATTCCGCGATATTGACAAGAATCCTTTTGTCAAGTAGGCCGTAGGTCAAGAACTTTGACCGAAAAACAGTAGATGGGATTTGATAGGAGTTTCTACACCATTTTCTGTTCATCCTGGGTGAAACTATGAAATTGCATTGTAAAATTATCAAATCGGACAGACGTGCGAAAACTATCCCAGAATTTTTCTTTTTAAATTTTCAAGGAGGAACCAGAATCTACAGTGACAGGCGTCAAGGAAGAGACAGAGTCTGCGGCGCAGCAGGCTACCGCGACTGCGCAGTAAGTGCCTTGCTGAGAGAGAGGTTTGAGTGATCGACCCTTTGGGGGGAGACACGAGGAGGCTCAGTAAATATAGGGTGTTTAAAAAAACCTGTCCCCCTTGCTAGGATAGCTAGTACACTGCAAAATAATTTGGGTTTACTTCGTAAAAAAATGTCGTAACGGCAACCGTTTTCATGATACAAGGTGTTTTAAAAATGTTTTTTCTCACATTTTTGACGATTATGTCGAAACTACTGGCAACATTGAATTGAATTTTTGTATGAATGTGTTTTGAAAGCTAGTTACACGTTTTATACCTAGTAGTTCAGAACATAACTTTTTTGAGGTTAGCTTTTTCAGTCCAAATTTGATGTTGACTTGAACATCATTCAATTCTACACCACAGAGGCACTCTTGTTAAAACTCGATACTGTATTCCGTTTCCGGAATATTTTGATTTGAAAGTGATGAAGTGATGACTGTTGCTGGTATAAAGCTATATATTAGAGTAAGTATTATGAAAAACCCATCACGTCTTTATTGAAACCGAAAACAACAATAATAATAAGTTTATTCAAAAACGTTTACAAAATATACATTGGAATAAACAGATAGGTAATTTGAATAAACTGGGAAAAACCTTACGAAATTGACCTTCCAATGCTAAACTCATTGATTAAACAATTAATCACAAGAATAACATTGAAAAAAATTTGACTAAAAACATGGATTAAACAGTTTTGTTGTATCTTATGCAAAGAGTCTATGGTACAGAGGTAATCACTTGAATGACTTAACAGCTGATCCTCAACCGTTTAGAAGTATTATGCATTCTTTTGAAACAAATATAGAATTATGTATTCCTGGAAATGGAGGACATTTTGAACACTTTCTGACACTGATTCAATATTTTTGTTTTTGTCAACTTTACTTCTGATTCTTTGTTCAATCAATAACCTCAGCACAAGACTAATGTGATTGTTTCTGAATCTGGATAAATAGTTAATTGATCTAAATAAAATTTATTCTATAAGTACCAGTGTCAACTATTACTCCATTATTTTCAAATCAAAAAATTGGGAAAACGGTACAGAAATTCGGATTGAAAAATCTAACCTCAAAAAAGTAATGTTTGAAACTACCACTTACGAACCTGTAACTAGCGCCCTCTTTGAGAGTTAGATATAAAAACAAATTCATGCGATGTGTCAGCTTCCAAAACACGTCTATACAAAATTTCTTCACAATGTTGCCAGTACTTACAACAAACCGTGAAAAATGTGTGAAAAACATTTTCTCAATACTTTGTATCTTGAAGATGGATGCTTTTACTGAACAAACCCAACTTATTTTGCAGTGTTCTACCTACCATAGCAGGGGGTCAGGTTCTTTTGAAACACCTTGTAGATGATCCATGCGAGGGGAATTTCCTCTTGTTTTCGTTTTTTCCTGACGGTAGGCCGTGACTTCTGTCAAACGTTGATCTGGCACCTGTTGCATATCATGAAACGACTGTCAATTGTCGCTTGTGATTCTTTGATGAGCCACCTTGATTTCCCCCCTCTTTTGTCGGTCGTATGTATAGTTATTACACTGAATTAGCTTTTTCTATGGTACTCTTCAATTAATGTCCTAAATTTCTTCTAATGATTTGCAGAGTAAATTTTTTTTATTTGTCAGTTGGAGGACATTTGATGTTGTAAAAGGACAGATAGATTTTTTTCTTTTTTTGAGTTATGTTGAGACTTGATAGGTTTATTTTTATTATATTTAATTTTTTGTGATAATGATAGGTTTATGTATTTTGTAACATGTATTTTCGGATGGTTACATACCTGTTATTAATAATTGAGTTTAATAAAGTTTAATACATTGTATTACTTGACGTGGTTCATTTTTTTATGCATTTCAATCACATTGAAGATGAAGAAATAAAAATGTTGTCCTACATTATTTCATATGTTGGGAATCAAAATGGAGGATGATCAGTGCCGGATTTATACTCCCTTACGCAGGGGGCTAACTTTTACGATGCCGCCGCGCCGCCGCCAAATATTCAATTTTCAATTATCAGTTTCAAAATTGAAATAATCCTTTCACTGCTTTTTTCACAGCATATAACAATAACATGAAATCATTATGAACAAGGAATCAAATTATATTTACTCCACACGTTGAACATAACAACAAATATTTTTTTCAGATGAATACTAAAATACTTTTCTTATTTCTTTTGCTGCAAAGTCGTCAATGGCATCATCAAAATTCAGATTTGATAACATGTCACTGTTGATACTTAATATTGATACAATATTCAATATATCCTCTACCATGGAATTCCTACGGTAGATTTTCACTCTTTTTAATGTTGAGAATGACCTTTCACCACTGGCATTACTAATCATCAGGGTCAGGGATAGTAAAAAAATTCTCAGTAATTGCCAATATTCAATGAATTAAGAATTTGTTGTGATTATCCCTAAAACAACGCTAAGTCGTGTTCATATTTTGATCATCTATTTTTGAGATTCCAACCCTTCTTTTTCGCGAATTGAATTTAATAAAAATTTTAAACTTATCATTGCCGTCTTGGGATCGTGAAGTTCCCGGAGACGGTTCTGTCGGTTCTGATTCTGTCTCGTTTGAATTTAGAAAAAATGAATGTATTTTAGGGCATTTCTTGACAACTTCGTCTAACTGCTTTTGTTTATTGATCTTCTGCCGTTTCCAGAATGCACCACCTTCTTTTATACTAATTTTTTTCAATTTAATTTTCAATATCTATTTCGAGATCTATTTATTATTAGTACCAACCTATTAAATGCTGAACTCGGATTTTGTTTTTTGTTATTGAGTTCGACAAGTAGAATGCGGTTTTTCTTCTCATCATCAAATGAAAGTATGTACCGCCGCCACTGCTTTTGTGTAGCGTCCAAGACACAGCTGACGCTAAATTAGTGCATGTTATGATTTCCAGATTTCCACAAAAACATAGCCCCCCTCTAAATCCGGCACTGAGGATGATCATTGATCATATTTGGAATAGGCCTTTTCATTTATCTATCATCTCTCTTTACATCTCGCATCCATCGACAGTGACGTTAATTTTTACCGAAACACTACACCAATGATGGAAGTAAGATATGGTGTAATTATTGATGCGCTTTTGTTTCAGAAATTTTACTCGACCTCTCGAGAACAGCAAGAGCAATGGTTCCGTCGATCTTCTAATAGATGGCGACATTGCACAATTATAACATCTGTCAGTTTTGGAATTGTCGCAGATTTTTCGAATTGAGAGTTGAATAATCCCACTGTTACATATGTTCCGCGTACCTAAAATGCCATTTGCCATTTTATTTCCACTCGTCACAGCAGCAATAGCAGCATCACCATCTAGCGGGAAAATGTAGAATAAACGTCTCGCTCGTTGTTGTAGAGAAATCATCATGAAATTTTCAATACGTAATAATGGCTGAATGCGCGCACCATATCTTACTTCCATCATTGATACACCACAGTACCACACTCCTCAGTAACGAATACGTCACGTTTTTTGGAATAAAATTATTATAATACGATTAATACACACCAGGAATATAAAAACTTCTTAATGACGAATGCCCATGGTGGTTGACACTGTTGACATTTGACAGAACCAAGGGCGTCGCTAGGTTTTTTTTCTGGGTGGGGTAATTGAAAATTACAGACGACATTATTATAGGATATGATTATACAGGGTGATCCACGGTGGATGGCCTATTAGAAGGATCTGGAGAATGAAAAGATAAAACATTCTGAAAATTGGGATCCTTTGATAATTGAACATTCTCTATCCATCTAAAATATTTTCATCGATACAATGTTGCCACTTCTATCAGAAACAACTAGCAACTTTGTTATTTCAAATGGAACACCCTGTATTTTATTGCATTTTTAGATTCTTCCTGAAAAGCTAATTTCATCAATGTATCACACCTGGGGTCTAGCAAAAATGATTACAGAGATATAGTATTTTCAAAATCGAGATTTTTCAATTTTAAGATTTTTTTTGTGTCGAAACTATTCATTAACGATCAAAACGGCTTACATGTCCCTATCCTAATTTTCGATTCACTATCTACTCACATTTAATTGGAACAGATACAGGGTGATCAGAATTCTGAATCTTGGAGCACCCTGTATTTTTTCCAATCAAATTCCAGTAGATAGTCAATCAAAAGTTGAGATAGGGACATGTGAGCCGTTTTGATCGATAATGAATTGTTTCGACAAAAAAAATCTTAAAATTGAAAAATCTCGATTTTGAACACCCTATATCTCTGTAATCATTCCTGCTAGACCCCAAGTGTGACACATTGATGAAATCAGCTCTTTAAAAAGAATCTAAAAATGCAATAAAATACAGGGTGTTCCACTTGAAATAACGAAGTTGCTAGTTGTTTCTGATAGATGTGGCAACACTGTATCGATGAAAATATTTTAGACGGATAGAGAATGTTCAATTATCGAAGAAACCCAATTTTCAGAATGTTCTGTCTTTTCGTTCTCCAGATACTTCTAATAGGCCATCCACCGTGGATCACCCTGTATATAACTCACCTATTATTTTTGTAATTCGTGAAATGTGAAAACATTCCGTATTTACGAACCCCTCCTATACTTTCACATACTTTATGGAATACAGATACAGATTTGCTGTATTCCTATATTCCAGCAGAGCAAACCTGGAATCCGAGTAGATATCATGAGCAATTCATATTTCCATTCGAATTGGTTTCAGCTGAAATCTATAAGAAAAATCCGATGAATTCATGTCTCTGCAATTTTTATTTTTATATCTTTGTATTACAAAAAAGAGGTATCTACCTACCTATACCCAATGTTTCCAATATAAATACAATAATAAATAACCCCTCATTTCAGAAAAATGTTATGCACCTACCTATTTTCCAATTATTTCCATACCAAATGGTTATAGATGTTTGTTTTATTTTCTAAACATTTTAGATCGCCGCCAAT